ACCATATTCTTTTTAATAATTCGTATACTAAAATAATTCCGAGCATTTTGATTTTTGTGAACTGCATGATTTTAATAAATAATAAATAAATCGCAATAAGAGAGCAGTTGACATGCGCATGTGCGTTACAAAATGCCTTGATGTCCTTTTTCAAAGTGGATCGCGAAGCTACAGCACGAATTCAAAAGGCAGCTTCATATTTTTCGGGATTTTGACTTGCCGATGGTAAGTCTCTTACGCAAGTTATTGTCAAAAGTATCAAAACTAAGTTATAAGTATCAAAACTTATTCCCGCGCAGTAAAGTATCGTAGTAAAATATCATCGAATATTCACCGAAAACTCATTTTTCGAAACGGTTCGTCCGGGAATGTTTACTTTTACATTTGATTTTTCCAAATGTTTTTTAAATATTGTTTTGCTGATTGGGACAATCGAATCGAGATTCTTTTTCTTATTAAAGGATCGATTAGCTTTTTATTATTTTTAAACTTGGTTACATCTAAAATTCATGATTCTTTCCTTTTAATTAGGTTACTTAATTAGACTCACTTAAAGACGTTATATAAGGTAAAATAAGTTTGTTAAGAATTCATTGAAACTTGCACGACATACCAATTGAGATATTATCCAACTGTTCGTGCAATCAGAAGAAAATTTCATGCGTGTTTCTTGGATTTTTTTGGTGTGCTATTATTAATTTCTATTTTTAATCTTTTATAAATTAAAATTAGAGCTTTCATAAAACACCTACTATAAATAAGCAAATTGATAGCAGAATACATGCAGATTGGCAGCAAATTTGATCAGAATCCCATATCAAAATTATAGTCATTTGTGTCAGCATTCAGCTCGTGTTTTAATGTCGGAGGCTGCTAATAAGCAATACGAGCAAATCAGGTTCTGCTCAAAATCTGCTTGTGCAGTTTTGGCTATCTGGATATAACATTAAAAACTAATATTATGCATAAGTTTCAAAATTATTGATCATTTCGTTTGAAAAAGATAGCGGTGGAAAAAATTAAAAATTTAAAGAAATATTTGAAATACGTACGCATACACATATATAAATTTAATACACATATAAACATTTATATATTTGTTTTTATCTGTGCATCTCTATTAGATTACCTGATGCATAAATAAAGCATTAATAAGAAAAAGTTTTAAAATAATATTTTTCATATTTGTAATATTATGTATATAGGGTGACCTATTTTAAATGACGTATTGAGACTTCGAAAATCGAAGCTTCTAGCAGAAAATGTTGCGTACAAAAGTTTTATAAACCGAAATAATAGAACGCTCCTTTATAGAGTTAACTAATAGTGAAATATTAATGGCACATAAGGAGCTAGCACGGATGTCTTAGTGCTATTAAATACTAATATAATTTTAATATTAATATGATTGTGGGAGGATAAAAATGTCCAGTATGTCAAACGCATGTATCGAAATTTTTTCTTCGACTAACGTACGCGGAGAATCAACCTTCCATACTTAGACCGATCCTTGAGTCCCAAATTTAAATATATATTTTAATTAAAATCCCCAAACCCCCATTAAACCGATATATATATATATATATATATATATATATATATATATATATATATATATATATATATAT